CTTTTAAATTTTGTCCAAAAGTTCACAAGTGTGTCATTTTAAAAAACACAATAAACCAAGATGTAAAAGATTTCATTAGCACCAAACAAAGCAGTGGCTGTTTAATCATTTTCTACATCAAATATATAAAATGTCAGTTTACTGTGGCGAGTAAATTAATACTATCTTCACCTTTAACATAATAAACACATTTTTTTTTGAATGAAACCTTTAATTTAGGGGGGGGGGAAATTGAATGAACAATCTTGCTTCCATCTGCTTCAAGCAATTAGATAATTATTAATATGCCAGTATCTATTAGAATCTGTATATTTTTAAACTTTGTTTTTTCTATTTTAATGTTTAGTTCTTTATAATACATTCTTTAAAAACAATTTCAGTATGTCATCACTGCAATAGCACTGCCATTAGGTGGCACTGTATGCAAATACTACTTAATCTTCCAAGAATAGACCTTTCAGCTAGAGTATAGTTATTGTAACTTTCAAAGAAGTCTCATAGAAGCAGCAAAAAGGCTTGGAAATTGTGATCAACACAGTGGCAAAGAACATGGAGGCAAAGCAGTTGGAGGTGCAGAGGCAGGTCTATAAACAATTCTAAAAAGGAGTCAAGGTGATGGGAACACCCGGAGAACACTCACCAGGTTTACTCAGCAGGAGTTAGAAAGGGCTGGCTGGATGAGAGGGTGCTAGCTCCTACAGAAGCAGTTAACATATTCATCTAGTCAATATAATTAGTTTTTTATGAAGTAAAAAGGCATAAACAACTACACTGTCAAATCTAAGGAAGAAAATAAGAAATGAAAATGAAGGCCATTAACATGGTGACAATCAGAGAAATATTGCATTATAAAGGCAATTCTTCTATCAGTCAAATGCCTGTAGCTTAAGTGCTCCTAGATGCAAATGCCATTCATAATCTCTGAAGGGTTTATTTTCTCAAACTGAAGGCTAAGCAATAACTCCCATCTGCAAGTGTCACTTCCACAAAGAGCACACACAATTTATGTAGCAGACATGACTGGACTGACTCCCCAGAAGCCACTTCAGATATGCCACAAAATTTCAACCTTTCCAAAACAATTCAGCAGAAAAACAGCACCTTAACCTTAGCTTGATATTTTTCTATTGTTATCTGCTTCACTGCAGTGAATAAGTGGAGTGAAGCAAGTCAAAACATTATCCCACAATTATTCAAGTCTCCTAATCCAAGAGTCAATCACTAAGATTTAAATATTCAAACAGTAAGATTTTAAGTATGCTTAAGATGGAACCCTGGAGGCAGAGTGGGAGGACTCATTTACTCCATCATCCAAGGTACCACTCTACCTCTTTAACGTTTAACTATAGCACAGAACTGGATGGTCTTCCCAATGTTGCTGAACTACAGATGGATGCTTGAGCATACGGAGGATTAGCGAGCTGCTCCTGTTATCACTCTCTTTCCTACACCTCATGCACTACACCTCTCCTCATTTAGCAACCACATTCCATTCCAACAACTTAGTTGTTAAGCAAAATGGTCACAAAGTGAACACATGACAGAGAGCGAGAGAGGAAGAGATGCTCCGAAGATCACTAGTTGCTGCACTTTCATTCACATAAAGTTCTCTCCTACAGTGTCCTATGCCTGACCCATTTCCCCCCCCCTTTTTTTTTTTGCCCCCTTTCTGAACTGCTTTTCTCTGCAGGGAAGCACTTCCCTAGAAAGTACTAACCACAAGTTAACAAGCTCAGCTCTGTGACCTTAATTAGTTGATTAGAACCCTCCAGCCAGCTGGTGCTGGTGTCTGAAACTGACCAGACCTTAATCAGTTTCACACTGAAAGCTTTTGTTGCATTGGTCAGAAAAGGATTTTTTTTAATTACCATCCTATTTGCAAATGGTTGCTAACCAAGGTAGTCGCTAAATGAGGAGTGACTATATTCTTTTATTATAATACAAAATATTTGTATTCAGTGAGATAGAGAAATAAATACATAAAGTTTAACCAACACTTAATGTTCTACTTATTTATTTTATTAATCATTGAGATGTATATTCTGCCTTTGCTCCCAGAGGTCAAGGTGTACACAGTACTCTGTCCTGCAATTTTTCCCTGCAACAACCACCTTATGGGATATGTTGGCCTAAGGGAGAAGGACTTGCCCAGGGTTATACAAAGAGCTTCCAGGATTGACAGTGAACTTGAATATGTATCCTGACCCTAACACTAACCCTAACTCTAACCCTAACTTTACTGCATACTGGTATTATTATTATCATATATAACGTGATAAAATATTAACATATGTAACATGATAGTAACATATTATTAACTTATGTAACATTCTCAGCTTTTCCAGAGACAGAATAACTTCACTAATTATTTTATGGTTGTGAATTTATGCTTATATTTATTTCTTTTTATTTATTTAATTTTTATAGCCACCCATCTCACTACCATGATTCTGGGTGACTTACATGGTTAAAAATACAAAAACAACCCCAAAATAACTGCAAAAACATTAGAAACAATAAAACTATAAAAACTATAAAAACATAATCTGCAGGAAAGTGCCATTCATTTTCTTAACAGTACAACAGTATGATATCAAGGCTTCTTAATGAATTATAGCAAGAGAAAGACTAGCACTTTTTTTTCTGAACTCACAAAAATTCAAATTGTTCTGGAGAATTTCCAGGCTGAGAAACTTTTTGCTACATTTTTATCATAGGAGATGGACATCAAGGATTACCACTATTTTGTGCTACTTTGATGTCCTCTGGAATTCATAATGCTATTTTTGTATCAGACAGAAATCAGGATCTATTTTGTTCATCTATTCCGGGGGTTTTCAAACTGCATTGTGCATAACCCAAGTTTTTTAGGAGAATTTCATAGGGTTCTGTCTGTGAGAGACTACCAACACCAAAAATTTTTCTTAAACACAGCCAATTTTCTATCACTAGAATTCTGCTCTAGTTCCAGGAATATTTCTTTTAATGAACAAGTTCTGTGATTTGAAAAAGTTTGAAATCTAACCCCAATTTAATATGCCCCCTTTTTTTCCTGTGACTACTGACCTTGATAATTTTATTTCTGCTGAATAATGCAAAATCTACCCAATTATCTTGCTAAATGTATTGTCGAAGGCTTTCACGGCCGGAATATGATGGCTGGTGT